TGTCGCTAGACATAGGACCAACTGTATTGGATCGGTCGAGTAGACTACCTGAACGTGTCCGCTGCTTTCGTAAAGCCGAGTTTGCGAAGCTTAATAACCTAATTAGGGATTTTGATTGGTCCGCTTTGTACTTGTGCACTGATGTCACAAAAGCCACAAACATTTTTTACAATGCTCTTGGCACATTTTTTGATTCTTGTGTCCCGCTTTCTTGTCCGATTAGATCTGGAAAACCCCCTTGGTTTACCAAAGAGTTATCCAGTCTAAAAAACTTAAAATCAAGACTTTATAAAAAATTTCAAGAAGTGGGTTCTCCTACTTCTCACTCTCGTTATGTAATAGCTCGGTCAAACTTTTCAGTTCTTAATGCTCAATGCTATAAGAACTACCTATCTCGTTGCAGGATACGTTTTTCTCAGGACCCTAAACAGTTTTACTGCTTCGTAAACAGTAAGCGTAGAACGTCCGCACACCCATCCTCGCTATCATTTTGTAATACGTCGGCAAATAATGATCAGGCAATTGCCGATCTTTTTGCCCAGTTTTTCCAAACTACCTATTCTGAGGAACGCTACTCTGGTCAACCGTACCCATACGGATTACCGAGGTCGAACGGCATTTTCAGTCCCTTGTTAAATGAGTATTCCCTACTTCAAGATCTTCGACTAGTTAAGCCGGTGTTTTCACCGGGTCCAGACGGGGTTCCAGGTTGTGTACTCAGGTACTGCGCCGAGGCTCTGTGTGGACCATTGCTTAAACTATTCACCATGTCCATTGATTCATCTTGCTTCCCCCCAATCTGGAAGGAATCGTTTATAATTCCTCTCCATAAAAAAGGTAGTAAGTCTGATGTAAAAAATTATAGAGGTATAGCAAAGTTATCCGCTATTCCCAAATTGTTTGAGAAGGTTTTAACTCCGCACTTGCAACATCTCTGCAAGTCACTTATATCTCCAACTCAGCATGGATTTATAAGGCGGCGATCAACCACCACGAACTTGTTAGAGTTTACCTCTTTCATTATTAAAGGCTTTCAAGGTAACTTACAGACGGATGTTATTTACACCGACTTTAGTAAAGCATTCGACTCTGTAAACCATTCCCTTTTAGCACATAAACTTGACCTTTTAGGGTTTCCGCCCAACCTCCTGAGATGGATTTCTAGCTATCTTTGTTCTAGGTCTCAAAGAGTCCTCTTCAAAAACTCCCTCTCTTTACCAGTAAAGGTTTCTTCGGGAGTACCACAGGGCAGCCATCTAGGCCCCTTACTCTTCACACTCTTTATTAATGACTTGCCTTCAGTAATAACATACTCTCGAGTACTTATGTATGCGGATGATGTTAAACTCTGTGTCCAGTACAAGGACATTTCATTTCATTCTCGCTTGCAATCCGATCTCAATAGCTTTCAGTCATGGTGTTGTGCAAACTTGTTACACCTTAATGCCTCGAAATGCAAAGTTATGACATTTCATCGTTCTAACCCTTTGTTGGCTCCCTACACCCTATTTGGGGGTTCTCTTGAGAGAATTACCCTGGTGGATGATCTGGGTGTTATGTTAGATCCCAAGTTAAAGTTTTCCGAACACATTTCTACCATGGTAAATAAGGCCATGGGCGTGCTTGGGTTTATAAAGAGGTGGTCAAAGGAATTTGACGACCCCTATATAACAAAGACTCTCTATACCTCGCTTGTTCGTCCGATCTTAGAATACGGCTCCTGTGTATGGTGCCCTCAGTACAAAGTACACCAGGACCGTATAGAATCAGTACAGAAAAACTTTTTACTCTTTGCTCTGCGGGGCCTTAACTGGGATGCAGGTGTAAGACTCCCATCTTACTCTAGTAGACTATTATTAGTAAACCTCCCATCCTTAGTTAACCGTAGAAAAATGCTTGGTGTGATATTTATGCACAACTTGATCAGGGGTGACATAGACAGCCCTGATCTGTTGAGCCGCATAAACTTCACGATTCCTATTAGACTGACTAGAAACTTTATACCGTTGTTCCTTCCACTTTGTAGATCGAATTATTCCTTGCATGAACCGTTTAGGGTCTTATGCTCGGACTATAATTCCCTCTACCATATTATATCCTCCACTAATTCTCTTCCTCTTATTAAATTACTAATCCTTACACACCTCTCTAGTAATTAGTAATTGTAGCGGTATTTGTATTTTGTATTTTATTGCATGCTTAATTTCTTAATAAGTTTAGTGCTAATTTTCCTCGAAGGTTAGTCTAATATCTATCTTTCTTGCATGCTCGCGTTTGGTTCGGCTACGCACCGCGCGTCATGCGGCAGCGCCCCTCGGTCGGTTGGGCGGGAGGAGGGCTGCGTTTTGCCTGGGATCCGCGCGTAACAGCCTTCTGCTGGTGTCACACGGGCCACTTGACGGTGCAGTAATTGCATCGCCTCTTGTTAGATGCAGTCATTGCATGTCAACGTCCAATAAAATAAAAAAAAAAATACAAGGCAAAAGAAAGTTAACTTAAATTATTTATTAACGAAGATTTTACTTCGAAAGCACAAGTATCAAAGGTAAAAAGATGGACAAATTTATTGTAGTCGCGGCAAAGGCTACGGAAAGATTCATGGTCAGAGTAGATCGAAGGACAGGAAGACGCAGAGGATAGTAATACCTAGTCGGGTGGGATGGGACAGCAATATTGATAAGGCTAATGAGGGCCGAGGATTCAACGTCGCCTAGGAGAAGTTTGTGGAGAAATAGAATTCCATGACAAGTCCTACGGCTTTCAAGAGAGTGCAAGTTAATGAGACGCAGCTGACTCCCAAGTAAGTCCGCGCAGGGCATAGATAAGGAATTGTTTTTGAACGGACTCGAGTATATCTTGATATTTTTGGTAATGGGGAGACCAGATACAGGAGCCATATTCCAAGATAGGCCGTACGTAAAGTACTTTAGTGGTATAGGGGTCAGAAAATTATTTCGACCATCTTTTGATAAAGCCAAGGAATCCTTTGGCTTTATTTGAAATAGCGGATATATGAGAATTTAAACATAAGTTAGGTACGAAGATAATGCCTAAGTCATTAACTTTGTACAGGCGTTCCAAGGAAATGTTGTTAATTGTGAAGTCAAAAAGGTAAGGCTTGTTGGAAGGTCATTTGGAAATGTTAAGAGGAAGAGATCCGATTGAAGAAATACGGGGGCACAGGATCGCTATAGGAAAAACAAAGCTTGACATCATCAGCACTCATAAGGACTCGTGAATTAGTTAAAGCTTGGGGAAGATCATAGAAAAAGAGGTTAAGGGCCCGAGATGGCTACCTTGTGGCACACCCAAGAGATAAAAACTGGTTTAGAAAGAGAAAATAGGTCGATCGCAAAGGTACGCATTAGTCCAAAGAAGAAGTTTAGTCGGAAATCCTAATAGAGATAGTTTTTGGATGAGGAGATTGTGGTTAACTGAATCGAAAGCTTTACTAAAATCAGTATTGACTACGTCAGTTTGACATTGCTTTGCAAATCCGGCAGTTACATAGGAGGAAAATTTAAGGAGGTTAGACGAAATTGAGCGACGTTTTACAAATCCGGGCTGTGATTCTGATAACATGGAACTACAAAAGTGGAGCTGAGAAGTTATACTTTTTTCGAAGAGTTTAGGAATGGCAGGTAAATTGGAGATACAACGGTAGTTTGAGACGTCTGATTTATAACCCTTTTTATGAATAGGAATTATGTAAGATTTTTTAAAGACGGTGGGAAAATAACCAAGCTCGAGAGAGAGGTTGAATAGTTTTAAGAGAGGCACGCCAAGAGAATCCGTGCAAAGTTTAAGCACGGCACTGGAAACCAAATCAGGACCAGTGGAGAAATAAAATTTACACGATTTTAAATTAGTTAAACGGCCATCATAATCAATAAAGGGGGGATGGATATAACTAGAACTGTTTAAAGGTATAGGATATGAGTGCGCGGCTGGATAGTCGTTAGGTGAATCGAGAATTGAATGCATGTTACTAGAAGGAGCAGGGTAGAAAAGTTGAAAAAAAAGTTTTAAAGCGAGCCAAATAGCAGTCTACGTATCTGGTATACCTTAATACCTTTATATCGTACATTCATTCCAAATCTAGTCCAAAACACTTTGCAGAATCAGGATTCATTTGAATTACTTTGTCGGGTCAAGCAGCGTAAATATTGTAAATTATTGCTAGTGGTGCGGCCCAAAGGAAATGCATTTTGTTGTTGGTTGTCATTTGCAATGCCAACTGTAAAGATTATTTTGTTACCGCATATAATATTGTTATATATTTCTATACCGAGCATCTCTAACGCTCTCGGTGTATCCTACGCTCTCGCTCGCGTCTAAGCTTGCTGCATAGGGCACGGCAATTTGGCCCGTCAGCCCTTGCATTCTCAGTCTTAAGCTAATCGTCGCAGCTATTAGATTAACATCCTCGCATCAATATGTACATAAATATATATGTACATCAATATGCATATGTAAGTTGGCTTACATATGCAAATAAATTGTGAATTATATACAAACTCTCCGCTTTTATTAAATTCAAAACTCGCAACAGTTATTAAAAACGCTTAATAGCGTCACGTACTTATTCTTTAATATTTGCGACTATAGTTTCTGCATTCAAAGCATGCAAGACTATGAAGACAACAATCTTTTATAACACTATGCAACACCTCATTGAATTTGAAAGCTTAATATTTTCCAGACATAAGTTTGCAAGCTTGCAGCTTAAGCTGCAAAGTATTCGGGTAGGATATATACCTGCATTTATCAGCTTTTCAGAATTGCTAAGTTCGATATAAGCAGGCGTAGGATACAAAACTTAATGTGAAAAAAGAAGCACTACCTCTAAAAAAACAAATGCAAAAAAATACCAGATAATGCAAATTAACTTAAAAATTTTTAATAATTATAAAGTTTATTCATTAAATTTTAGAAAAGCTAGTGAAAAATCTTACTAGCCTAATATTTGTTCAATCATTTTTTAAATATTTCATCAACAGATTTGCTACCGATTTCATCGATGTGCGTGAGAAAGAGGCTCACCGTGAAACTCGCGGCGTTCGTAAAAGGACTCGCGAAATTACCTTGAAGACTTTAATGCAGGCTGACGATATAAAAACATTTGGGACATCCGAATTGGAAACAACAAACGCAACGTTCTTGATTAACGCAAAAAATGACACTATCGATAATTCGTCAAAAGAACTCAGAAAAAAGTCGAGTGCTAACAATAATTATTTACGTAAAGACCTTGTGGTAACAGCAACTCCATTAAAACTTCAAAGAAAGGAGAATAGTGGACCAGGCTTACCAGATGATCTATTCGAGCTTCAGCAACGTATTACCAAAGAAATACTCAATTCAAAATTGGAGGGAAGGGAAATGCTGGTATTGCAGGTAAGAATACCTCCTGCAATTTGTAAACAAATAAAGTTATATTTACGACCTTGTCAATAGATTAAATATGTCTGTAAACATGTTTATGGGTAAGAGGTCGGTAATCGCACAAAAGTTTTAGCAAGAAAGGCGAGATTCCTGTGAGTAAATATTTTCGATTCTTTAAAAGCCAGCTAACTGGTTAGACTTTTAAATTTTAAAACTTACAAAGATGGGAATATTTTGGACTAATTTAGCTTTCTTGGTTTTAGCTATTCTTTAAACTGGACAACAGCAGATAAGAATCTGTATAATCAAATTTTACGCACACGCGAAATTTTGAGATATACATATGTACGTTTTATAGTGAGATCTAACAGAAGTTCGGATACCAAATTTGGTTACTCTAGCGTTAATAGTCTCTGAGATTTGTGGATACCCCCAGATTTTCGTCCTTTGCTGGGGTGGAAGGGGGTGTTTGAGATGCCAAGCTTTTTTGGCACCTATGTGTTTCAAAAATGAAAAGAGATTTTGGGTTAAACTTTATAATTCGTATTTAATCTTGGTGGCTTAGCGGAAGCCGATTGCTTGCTATTGCCAGATAAACTTTATGCGTAATTCAGCCATTCTAGTTCCCCCAGGAAGTGGGATTGAAGAATGATTGAATTCGGAGATTAAAAACTTGCAAAATTAAAGAATGAATTGGCTTGCAGCCAAGCGGTTAAAAAGCCAAACTGCAGCTACGGTCAAAAGCTGCAATCGTGATAGCAAGTTTCCGTGGAGGATCACTTGCCGTCATTCCACGTTCAACTTAATCATCGCCACTGAGGTTTAACGTTAGTTAGGCGAATTGTCGAGGCGAATTGGTAGCATTCAAATCGATTGATACAGTTTGTGATGAGAACAAAGCTGTAAATTTTGCAACCAAGTTTTTGAAAAAAATGTTATGAATGGAAAAAGTGTTTGGGTCCAATAAAACCAGATGTAAGATAATTAAGTTATATGAATTGATATTCTTGATCAGCATCAATAGCCGAGTCGATTGAGCCATGTCTGTCTGTCCGTCCGTCCGTCTGTCCGTCCCCTTCAGCGCCTAGTGCTCAAAGACTATAAGAGCTAGAGCAACGATGTTTTGGATCCAGACTTCTGTGATATGTCACTGCTACAAGAATATTTCAAAACTTTGCCCCGCCCACTTCCGCCCCCACAAAGGGCGAAAATATGTGGCATTACAATTTCGAAGATACGAGAAAACTAAAAACGCAGAATCGTAGAAGATGACTATATCTTCTAGAGTGCGAAATCTGAACCAGATCGTATAATTATTATAGCCAGAATCACGAAAACAATTTCATTCTTTCTCGCTCTGTCTCACTCTAACACACAGGTTTCATGGTCGGTTTTGCCAATTGCAAAATATGAGTTCAAGGATCCCAGAACCCATAAGAGCTAGAGCAACCAAATTTGGTGTCCACACTCCTGTGATATCGGACCTTGACCGTTTTGTGTCAAAATTTCGCCGCACCCCCTTCCGCCCCCGCAAAGGACGAAAATCTGGGGCAACCACAAATCTCAGAGACAATTAAGGCTAGAGTATCCATCTTTGGTATCCGCACTTCTGTTAGATCTCACTATAAAACGTATATCTCAGAATTTCGCCCTACCCCCTTCCGCCCACACAAAGGATGAGAATCTGTTGCATCCATAATATTGCAGATTCGAGATAACTAAAAACGCAGAATCATAGAGAATGACCATATCTATCCAGTTGCTGAATTTGGATCAGATCGGATAATTTTTATAGCCGAAATGAAAAAAAAACAATTTTCAGTGGCTACGCAGCACTCGACGTCACGCTTAGACTGATTTTCTGTCTCTCGCACGCACTCTTTGTCGTGTCGTTTAATATTAGCGGCGTCTGCCGGAGGAGAGCCATACTGACTTAGTATCGGGTATAACAGGAGAGTTGCGGTGTCCGCAGCAGCTCACAACGTTCCCCCTCGTTTTTCAGCTGGCTTGTTACTTTCAAGGCGAAATTTAATTTCAGTAAAGAAAACAAGCAAAACATTTTTTCTCAATTAGGGACACATTTTTCAATAAATTCGATACCAAGAATAGCAAGAAATTAAAAAACAAAATGATTCTGGTACAAAATAAAAAAGTCAACTTTTGTAACATCAATGGGATCTGCAGGTCTGCAGTAAAAACTTTTACGACATTTATTAGCTTCAAAATAATTTGTAAAAGTTGAACCTTGTTCCGGTGCTTATTTTCCTATGTACAATTTTTTAATTTTTATACCCGATACTCAAAATGAGTATTGGGGTATATTAGATTTGTGGTAAAAGTGGATGTGTGTAACGTTCAGAAGGAATCGTTTCCGACCCCATAAAGTATATATATTCTTGATCAGCATCAATAGCCGAGTCGATTGAGCCATGTCTGTCTGTCCGTCTGTCCGTCCGTCCGTCTGTCCGTCTGTCCGTCCCCTTCAGCGCCTAATGCTCAAAGACTATAAGAGCTAGAGCAACGATGTTTTGGATCCAGACTTCTGTGATATGTCACTGCTACAAAAATATTTCAAAACTTTGCCCCGCCCACTTCCGCCCCCACAAAGGGCGAAAATCTGTGGCATCCACAATTTTAAAGATACGAGAAAACAAAAAATGCAGAATCGTAGAGAACCATATCTTTTAGACTGCGGAATCTGAATTGGATCGTATTATTATTATAGCCAGCATCAAGAAAACAATTTCATTTTTTCTCGCCCTGTCTCTCTCTAACACACAGGTAGCATAGGCGGCTTTGCTTAGAGTAAAACATTAGCGCCTAGATCTCAGAGACTATAAAAGCTAGAGTAACCAAATTTGGTATCCACACTCCTAATATATATCGGACCGAGACGAGTTTGTTTCAAAATTTCGCCACACCCCCTTCCGCCCCCGCAAAGGATGCAAATCTGGGGATATTCACAAATCTCAGAGACTATTAAAGCTAGAGTAACCAAATTTGGTATCCGCACTTCTGTTAGATCTCACTATAAAACCTTTATCTCAAAATTTCGCCCCACCCCATTCCGCCCACACAAAGGACGAAAATCTGTTGCATCCACAATATTGCAGATTTGAGAAAACTAAAAACGCAGAATCATAGATAACGACCATATCTATCAGATTGCTGAATCTGAATCAGATCAGATCATTTTTATAGCCAAAGGAAACAAATCAATTTGCAGTGGCTACGCAGCGCGTCACATCACGCTCAGACTGATTTTCTGTCTCTCTCGCACGCACTCTTTGTCGTGTCGTTTAATATTAGCGCCGTCTGCCGGAGGAGAGCCATACTGACTTAGTATCGGGTATAACTGTAGAGTTGCGGTGTCCGCAGCAACTCACAACGTTCCCCCTCGTTTTTATCTGTAAAGAACGTTTTATGGTCAATTTCGCTATTTACAATAAAATAAACCCAACTGGGTAACAAATTTATAATTGGAGGAGACTTTAATGCGAAGCACAGGCTTTGGGGTAATCACAGAGTAGACCGCAGAGGGCGCATGACGCCCCAACTAATGGGTCGACTCAACTACTTGCGACAGGAAGACCCACCCACTACCCACCGTTTCAGAGGTCCATGCCCTCTTGGCTAGACATCTTCATATATCGATCTATTCCTAGCAATCAACTTACCATCCGTGAAGAGCATGACCTTAGCTCGGACCATCTGCCTATCATTGCTACATTATCGACAACTCAGCAGCTTCAGCAAGGCACAACCGAAAAACAGCACAGGGTAGAACATATACTAGACGGTTTCCAAGACGGTTGCTTATTTGGATATTTCGCAGGCCTTCGGCCGGTTGTGGAACGAGGGGACTACTCGGCACTGAGGGGGAGGACCTTCCGTGTTGCCCACGATAGTGCAGCTTCTTTGACCAAGACCAAGACCATAAGTTGCTCTAACAGGGACAGCAGACAACGTACTTTGTATCAATCAAAATATAAAATAAAATCCTAATTTTAATAAATAAAAAGATTCGTGTATTGATTTTATCCATAACGCTCATAAAACTTTTGCACCTCTTTTCGGTTGATGTCCCACTGTGCTGCGAGAATGGTAAACTATTAATTGAATATGCCATGAATTCGGCAACAGTGGGAATGGGAGAATATACTTTAATATAATAATGTCCTGATCTAATTAAAATTGTGTGATCTACATAATCAAATTATTTAGATTCTGCGCTTTCAGTTTACTTTTATACTTAAAATTGCGACTGCGACAGATTTTTGGCGTTTAGGACTCGGGGCATAAATTGGAGATACATTAGTTTATTTATTTACTTAACAATTATCTGCTAATAATGGTACTTAATTACAAAAGGAGGAAAGAAGAGAAGTTGAAGATTTGTTCAATTTAGGTGATTATAAATATTACATGCTATTAGCTTAAGGGATAGTTCAGGGGATGAGTTATAACAGAGGGAATTGTAGTTATGGCATATAACCCTAAAAGGTTCATGTAGGGCATAATTAGACCTACTTATGGGTAAGCGGATTGGCCTAAAAGTACGGGTAGGTCTAAATGGAACGGCAGCGTCAATCTGACCCAAGAGAGTTTGGGAGTTAACAATCCCGAGAAGGAGCTTGTGCGCGAACATTACGCCATTGCATATTCTGCGATGGTGCAACGACGGCAGGTCAATTAGATTTAGTCTAGACCGGTAGGGTGGCAAGATTCTACCCGAGTTACGAAGGACAAAAATTAAAAATTGCTTTTGCACGGATTCAATAACAACCTGCTGCTCTTTATACTGCGGGCTCCACACACAAGAACAATACTCCTATATCGGACGTACTATACAGTTGTTTAGTAGCATACGGGTCGTCAAGCTCCGTAAGTGTGATATCACAGAAGTCTCCACACAAATCTGTCATTGTCAAATTTGTAATTGTCTCTGACATCTAAGGGCTCATCAAGTCGATGAGACAGATGGACTCGGCTATTTATGCTGATCAAGAATATAAATAGTTTATACGGTTAGAAAAATATTTAAAAAAGTGTAAATTAGTACATTTGACAAGCGATACTCCTTCAACATCAGTACCAAACTGTTTGAATCTGGCATTCTGTGCTTCGTCCTTATCTTCATCTCCGCGTGTACTATGTTATAATTTAAGCGTATGCATATCGTTGATTGAAGGAATGGGAAATTTGACTCTTTATATGTACATATGTATGTATTTGAAAACGAAAATAAATAAATTAAATTATAAGAATATATGTATAAACATATGTATATGTAGAAACTGTAGTAACGGATTCTTAACCTTCAAAAGAAACTGTAAAATCTTAAGTTATGCCATCTTTAGGTTCTTCATACATGTTCACAAGTTTTATAGCCTCTATTTTGTATACTTTCCACAGGAAAAAATTAATCGAGAGATTTTAAACTCGAAAATTTTTCAAGCAGACGGTAAAAGCAAACGACGGAAACGGAAGCGGAAGAATCAACGGGCTGTAGTTGAAGACGCGCCTATTGCTAGCAACAATGACAGAGTAAATTATGTGGATGGAGTGGATACTTCAACCACAACAACTACCAAGGCTAGAAGCCTAATGAATTTACATAACAATGAAGCAGGTCGTCGGGTATGTTTTTGAAATAAAATTATTTTTTCTATTACGTAGTGGAAATAAGTTTTCCAAATTTGTTGTTCAAATCCACTGTTGATTAAGGTTGTGACGGCGCTTCGGCCGGGGGATTTGCTCGTCGCGCCGGGTTCCACAGAAATTTGTTTGATCTCTGGGTGTGGTAGCTGAAAGAGAGTCTCGTGGTTCAAGAATAAGGCGGGGATTAAGCGGTAATAAAAGAGATAGAGTTATTTTTATTGTTCTTCAAAAGGGTACAAAGTTTGGTAGGTGCGCGGGTTTTTTTCTTCTGGCTCTTCCTTCGGGGTCGTCCTTCGGGTCCTGGTAGTCTTCTGGTCGGTGTCGGTTGAGGGTGTGGAGGTCTAATGCGCTCCGAGGAGAAATAATGTTGCGGAGGGTAAATGCGCTCCGAGGAGAATAGGAGGATCGTTGGGGCTGCTGGTGGCTGCTACTGATGCTTACCTCTCCACTGGCCGGAGCCGAACTGATGATGATCGCTCTGGCGGAGCCCCTTTTATTTCCGAAAAGCAGCTGATCGTACGGTATGTCCCTAGCGAATTGTGCTGAGGTGTCCCTAACGCGTTTATACGGATCGGCTGATAGTGTGCCCGTTGGAGCTTGGGTTATGGTCACACTTGGGGCGGTGAGCTGTGGGTGTGACCGTGGGTGGCTGTGCTACGGGCCCATTGGTGGTGATCAGCTGTGGTTGGTTTTATGTATCATTTATTGTTTTTTTATTTCTTTTTATTTCTTATGTGGCAGGTCTTCATGTATTTGTCGCTTATGTTCTACTTATCCTACTAATACTTATTTTATAGTCTTCATGGCTTGTCTTGGTGTTTCTAGTGTTATTATTGTGGTATTTGTGGCGCCGGCGCTTGGTCTTCCTGGCGCTGGACGTCATAAGTTTACTACTCTGGAATACTCAGAGTGACGCTTGAAATTACGATGCTTCTTCACAAATATTTTTAGGCGGGTAAATAGAAAGCTTTTGTTACGAAATTTGCATATGTTTCTATTGACGTCTGAAAAATTAGAAGAGTTTTTCTAACTGAAATTAACCGAAAACTTTGGGTGGCTGTAATTTAGTTATTTATTCGGCGGGGCGAAAATGGATACGCTCGATCTCCTTCAATGTTAGCAAACAACTACATTTTCTTCACAATTCAAATCTCTTACTCTAGCTAACCTACGGTGGCAAAGCGGGGCGAATTCGCCAAGAGCGAGAGAGCGAGCGTTTATTGCGCTCCCGCTTTGCCCTAGCCTAAATTACACTAGACTTCATAATTACGACCAAATAAAGAATAATCGCCGCATAGAATGAAGGTCACGCAACACCGGCCCCGTTGAACGCCTGCATCGGCTTCAACACATTGGGAGCGGCGCCAACTTGTGTATGGCCCGCCGGCGATGAGCGACCCGCCTGTCAGCAGGTGTTAGGGCCTCGCCGTCGCTTGGATCTTGGCTGATGGCTCCCAGCGGCCTCGAGTTCATTATGGCCTCGATGCCGACGAGGACTGTGGCGAGCTCTTCGACGGTTAGGAGCGCGCTGCCTACTGCCCGTAGGAGTACGCTCTTGGCAGTTTGTGCTCGTGGGCCGACATGAAAATTCGAATGGTGCAGATGACGAATATAGCTTCGCACGAATTGCGAGCGCTTAGTCAAAAGCAGAGGAAACTTGGCATCGTATGATATAGGAACTTTGGCTAGTCGCCCCCCCACTCGCAACAACGAAAAGTTGCACCAAGTCCCTGTGTCTTCATGGATGAATGGGTTCAACCGCTGAAGACTAGGACCAATTGTAGATCCTTTCCTAACTTTTTCGATTTCTCCGTGATACTCGTGATGCTGGACGATTTCGACAATTTTATAAAATGCTTCATTGTATTCGGTCGGTGAGATAGTTTTTTCGAAATTTAGGCTTGGGTCTTTATATTTTCTTATGAAGCGGAACACATACACGAACACTCTAAGCAGTTGGAGGTGTGAGGAGAATCCCTCGATGACATCTAACAGCTCCGAACTTCGCACAGCCGCGGTCAGACCGACCGCAGTCTTCCTCTTTTCCAGCTGAAGATCATCGGAGTGTTCGAAATGAGCGTTCTTGGGCCAGTTTTCTTCTTCCTCTTTCAGAAATAATGTTTCTTCGAACCAAATTGACTGAACGATTCGTCGACGTCACAACCTTTTGAGACAATATCTGCTGGGTTCTGTTTCGTGGGTACATGACGCCACGTAGCATCATCTGACCACTCTTGAATCTCAGTCACTGTACTTGAAACGAATGTCGACAACGACGATGGATGAGACCGGAGCTCTGAATCCGACCAATAAACGACTCGTTCAATGGGCTCGTTTAATAGGGGCTTGATTCTGTGATAGAGATCTGCGAAAAGGTGAGCGTCACATAACTCAAGCCTTGGGAGCGTTTTGGTCTTGAGCGGCGCTACTTTGGATTTCGAAGTCAACAAAGATATTTTTAAACCTTCTGCAGCACGCTCCATAGGCTCTCATGGAGGCCTCAGCGAAGGCATGTATTTGAATCGGTGACATCGGATCGGAATACACAAACCGAGATATGGATATGTCTTCCAATTGAGAGAGTGTATTTTTCAACTTATTCCACGCTGTTTCCAAATGCAGCGGGATCGACTCATTCCAATCTAGTTTGTTAAGCCAAAGCTCCTGCAATAGGATCTTGCCTTTTATGACGATAGGACTTAACAAACCAAGGGGGTCAAACAACTTTTATGTCACCGATAGTATGTTCCGTTTTGTCGCTCGGAGACCCATAACTGAATTGTCAATTTTGAACTTAAAGGCATCGTCAGCAGGTAACCATGAGATTCCTAACGCCTTTGTCGACTCTGAATCCGAGATTGTAATGGGTTTGGCTGTGCTCTCAGATGCGGTGATCTCGGGTGAGTTTGAGCTCTAGGGAATGAGAGCTTCGCAGACTCACTCAACCTTTTCAAACACCGGATAGCTAAGAATGGGACTGGTCCAGTCCCATAGGTTACAGTGTTGAGCTTGTATAATCTTAAGGATTCAGAAGGGTCTCTTCTCCACACTATGAGCTAAAACTGCCGATCCGCTTCGTTCACCATCACTTGGCGATACAACTTTTTGATATCGGCAGTCAGGGCAAACCTGTGCAGACGGAAACGGAGCAGTGGTAAGTATAGTTCCTCTTGAATGGTAGGTCCGACCATCAGAATATCATTCAAGGCCACCTGTGAGGACGTCTTGGACGAAGCATCGAACACGACTCGGAGCTTGGTAGACGTACTTTGGGGCCTCAGAACACACTGATGAAGGATTACGTAGTGTGGAGTAGAAGGAATCGTATTGTCATTAGGAGACATATGACCTAAGGAGAGGTACTCTTCTATGAATTCCAAGTACATTTTCTTCCACTCAGGGTCATGATGCAATCGTCTTTCAAGCGAAAAAAACCGCCGTTTAGCAACCTCAAACTAGTTGCCTAAACAATTTCGGCCTGATGATAGTACCTGAGTCGTCTTACGATAGTGTTCTTCACGTAGCTTGTGCTCAGGTGTGCCAATTTTCTTGGTAGATGGCAGACCAATCGGTCAGGGTTATAACCTAAAATTGATTTCAGGATGCAAAAATCAAAGGAGAACTCACTACCATTTATTCGCGACTTCACCCCTGTGTGTATTTTTTCCTTTACTTGAGAGTTAGATTCACTAATTCCAAGTTAATACAGGACTTCTCTCTACGGATCTGTAAGCGATTAGCGAGGTCCACGGCAATGAAATTTGTTTGTGATCCAGAGTCGAGCAGAGCTCTGGCCAGAATGTGTTCACCGCTCTTAGTTCAGACGCTTACGATCGATGTAGCCAGAATTACCCTGTCCAACGCTGTCCCATGCAGAACATGTGACGTGGAAGGTTGATTCTGATTTGATGGAGGAGAATAACTCTCATGGGGTGGTGGCAACGCGAGACTATTCGCCGACACTGTGTATCGATGCAATAATGTATGATGTGAGCGGCTGCACACTCGACATTTATTGGCTTTGCATTTTACAACAGCGTGGCCTTTTCGCAGATAATTAATGCATAAGGATGCCGACTTGGCAAACTAAAAACTTTGCATCACCGAGAGACGCGAAAATGGAGGGCAATTTGACACTACATGGTCTCCTGAATTGCAGTAGCTACAAGATTGCTGAGTTCTACTGTTGGTAGAAGTGGAAGAACAAGCAAATGAACTGCGATTATGTGGCTTGTTTGGCATGACTTTTTCTTGCCTTGGCTTGGTCGATTCCTTAGCAGACAGATGCTGGTATCGACGATTCAAGACTTTCTCAAAGTCGGGCCACAGCGGCAACTTCTCATAGGTAACCTGTTGTAAATATGAGACGAGTACGTTGTTTGGAAAAAGGTAGCGAATAAATTTGAACTACCAACAGCAGAAGCTTCTGTTTTGTTCTGGTAATGAAGGGACGGAGGAAAAGCGTTTGACTTACGCTTAGAGCTAACGAACGAATAGAGTTTTTTAGGATCACTACGAAAGTTACTACTACATTGTGAAAGGTAATGATTATAACACTGACTATTGACGGCAAGGAACAGAGAGCGAGCGGAGGAGTATAGAGCTAAGGCCAACGTGGAGCCCGACTTCTGGTACTTTTTATAGAGCCGGGATTTATTATTTTTTAAGTATGACAAATACTTGGAGAACCAGGGAGGCTTGGACGATACAGGTACAGTGATATCTGGAACAAATGTATTAAGGGCGGAGTAAATAGAACTATAAAAAGAGTTAACAGTTGCATCTATGTTCGGTAATAAATAAAGAAACGACCAATCAACACGCGAGAGATGTAGATCTAAATCGATAAAGTTTGTTTTGCGAAAACACTTTATGTGACAAGGAGCCATGGAACTGTCAGCACCTCCAGATTGTGTACACTCCAGTGATATCAACAAAGTTGGATGGTAAGGATCTTCAGGGAGAGATATTGGGCTTGC